TTCTTGCTTGCTGTGTTCGTCGTGGTCTTTGTTGGCAGGAAATCAGTGACTTTTATAGCCACCACCGGTGATGACTTCAGACCGGTCACAAAGAGGAGTTTCGGTGAGTCACCGAACTTGTGGTGACTCACCGAAGAACGGTAATGCATGTGCGGCTGGCAACGTTTTCTGGAGCCTTCGTTTGGGTGTTGTGGCAGCGGCTGGAACGAAGTGGAATGGCGGCAACAGAGGCAGCGACCGCGTGGCCCTAGGGTTATGATACCCTAGGGTTTGCTACTAGGACTATCTGGACCGTTGGATCTAAGCTAGATCCAACGGTGGAAAAGGAGCGACGGTTGAGGTTGAGATACAAACCCTAAATGGGTGTAGGGTTACCATTTAGGACGGTCTGGGTGTATTTTGTAACTGGGTCGGTCTGGTTTTGGGCTTATAATGTAAATAATATTTTTTTATTAATATAATAATAATAATAATAATAATAAAAATAATAAAAATAATAAAAACAAATGAGAAAAAATTAGTGTATACAATTATTATTATTATCATCATCTATTTTTAGCATTGATTAATAGTAAAATGATGTATATTTTATTTTCATTTTGTGTTATACTATTAGTTAACCACCAATTTTAGAAATAGTTTCAGTTAAAAGACAATCTCTATATCTGATAAAATAACTTCTAACTTTGAATTTAGACCGTGACTATATATATTCACATAAAATTCTTGATTTTAAAGATTTCTTAATTCAATTGATTAAAACTAAAATTTCTAGCACTGAATTTAAGATGTGACTATATATTCATATAAAATTCTTGAATTATGAGTTATAAATAGCACCACCGAAAGTAAGAACAACAATGGTTGACCTGAAAATCTAAAAGTTTACTCGAAAATCTAATGGTTTACCCGACCTGAAACTGAACTGAATTGATCCGAAAATTTAATGATTGACCCAAATCGAAACCAATCGACTAGAGTCGAAGCCAACCAATTCAATATTAATCCGAACTGAAAACCAACTGATCTAATTTTGACCCGACTAAGTAGTTAACACGAACTGATTTTTAGAGGTGGTAAATAAGTCATTCGGATCGGGTCATTTCGGTTCAAGCCATTTTGGTTGAGACTTAAGTCAGGTCAGGTTCGGGTCGGGTTATTTTGGGTTTCAGTTTTATTCAAGTCTATAGTAAATTGGGTCGGTTCGTATATTGGGTCGGGTCAATATCGGATCGGTTGATTTCGAGTCAGATCAATATTCAATTAATTACTTTCAGTTTGAGTTAGTTTTGGATTTTCAGGTTAATTAAGTTGAGTTGGGTTAGTCAAATCAAGTATATATATAGTTATTGATATATTTTTTGTAAAAAAATGTGTCTTTTCTTTAAATCTTATCATTTGTGTTCAATTTCATTCAAATTCAATTATTATTTTAAATTAGTCCTTAAACTTTTGAACATTCAAATTTCATCCCCAAACTATGAATCTCATTCTAAATTGGTCCCTAGACTTTTAGATCTTTCAATTTCATCCCCAAATTCATCCAAATATGTAATCCATTTCAACCATAGTTTAACCTAATTTTTTTTCAGACATATAATAATATGACTTGATTTATGATTTATTAACAAGAGATGTGATTAGTATAAATGAATAATTTAAGATAAAATTGAAATATTCAAAAAGTTTGGGGACCAATTTAGGAGAAGATCATAGCTTGGGGATGAAAATGAAATGTTCAAAAGTTTGAGGACTAATCTAAAATAATAGTTGTAGTTTAAGGATGAAATTAAAATGTTTAAAGTTTATGTACTAATTTGAAATGAGAGTCATAAATTAGGGACATATGATGCAATTAACTAGTTAATAATTCATAATTTGATTTAAATAAATTGAAAACCAATTTAATAAGTTTTTTTAGCATTTTTATACATTTTAACTAAATTATTGTGTTAAAATCTGGTCAATGTTTGATTTAGACCAGGTTTGAATAAATTAAACTCGAGTTACTTTCAGTTCAGATTGCTTTCAGTTTGGGTTGCTTTCGGTTTGGACAAATTTGGGTTGATTTCGATTCAATTTGGTTTTTTCGGGTTTCAAGTCAAACTTAGATCATCATGTTCGGGTCTATTTCGGGTGTCGGTTCAGGTCAAGTTTGTCAGGTCTACTGATTTTTTATGGACCCGAATTAAACCCGAACCGAATCTAAACCAAAATAGTATAGACTCGAAATGATCCTACCCGAAATTACCTAACCCGAACTCGATCCGAATAATCCAATTGCCACCTTTTAGAAAATTTAACCTATTTGTAAAATCAAATAAAAAAAGTCTATTATTCAGCCTTGGCTTTTGACCAGAGAACGTTGAAGTTCAAGAGTTGCACATTCAAACAAAGCTGTCTGCATGTTTAATCAAAGCCGTGAACGGCATGAACAAATATACAATTGAAGTCGTTGTTGGTGACTTTGGTCTTAGAGAGCTCAAACCCGAATAACATGTTTTAGATTGGCCTAAAAGAAAACGAATAGCCCTGGTGCAACACGTGGACTAGAATACCTTCATGAACATTACAATCCATCATTCATCGCGATGTGAAGGATGCTGGAAGTAAAGGAGCTGGTTGAGAGATGGGAAGAATGACAGCATATCCAAGTTACCCGTAGACAAGAGTACAAAAGACTTCGGAGAGATTCAAATGGGGAGAAGTTTCATTGTATAGTCAGCATGGGATGCGATAGAGTCAACATAAGAAAGATGAGGTAAACATTTCTCGGCATATAACAAGATTACCCCCAACGTTTGCATACGTAGTCGTCTTACCCCATTTTTTTTAGTATTTTAACCTTTAACATTTCATTTTGAAGCATAATCTTCCCTGGTTGGATGAAAATTATTAGTTAACTAAATGTCAATATTTCATACGGATGTGGTAAATCCATTTGTGATGCCACTTCAACAAAAAAAATATTTTTAGAGTAAACTATAATTATAATTAATTACATATGCACTTATAAAAATATATTTAAAAATAGATTAAAAATATTTTTTTAATGGCTTGACATCACACGTGAACCTGCTACATCAATAGGAAAATTTTACCGTTAGCCAAACTAATGATTTTCATCTACCCAAGGGAAATTTTGCTCTAAAATAAAATCTTAGAGGTTAAAATGCTCAAAAACAAAATAGCAACAAAGTGATCATTTATGCAAACGTTGGGGATAATTTTATTATTATACTAACATTTTATTGGTTATGTTCAAGGGAATATGAACACATATCTCACATTAAAAAGAAAAATACCTTTAAAATAAATTTATTTTTATAGATTTCTAATTAGCGCTAACAATTTTATTTTGCAGTTCCTATTTTACCAATACATTTCTGTTGTTAGCACACAAAACACTTAAAACGGTGCCCAAACCAACGATGCCAATGAATCACGGATGATGAAAATAAGATTTTGTGTGATTTTTTTATTATATAATTTTTAATGAAAAATGTGAAGATTACCTCTAAAGACGAATGTGATATCATATATCGTCTTCAAAACGTCTTTAAGTAAGCATCAAATATCTCTAAGTTCATTCAACCGTACCCTGTCACCGTGATATATTTCCATATTGTCCCTGTGCCAAGATAGTATCGAGTACATGAAACGGAATTTTCTTACCGTTCCCGTGCCGTGCCTCATAGATGCCAATTAGAAAATTTTAGAGCACTCTAACCAATCGAGCGTTTAGAAAAGATTTTACATATATGTATTTTAAACTCTAATTGATATAAAATTGAAAGATAAAGTAAGTTTGAGATTTTTATATTTTAAAATTAAATTTAATATTTCTTATTGTTCATATTTACAATTGAATATATAATCATTAAATCGAGTATTTTTAATTTAATTAATAAATTTAATTTTTTATTATAATTGTATGAATTATTTATATTTTAGTTAAATTTTTATTAGATTCAATCATTCAAAATGTGTAATTTAAGTTTCAACGTTAACATGATTAAAATTACCTTTAGGTGAATAAAAAATAATTCACAAAAAATATTTTGATTGCAAAAACTTAAGATTTAAATTACAAATTTATTTTATGATTTTTTTTGGTTGAAAAGGAAAAAGGTCGCCTAGCTTCCCGTCTTGTCCACTATCAGCAGCTCCTCAGTTTCTTTAGGGTACTCTTTCAGGAAGTTGGTGTCTTCATGGTGCTTCCACATCTGTTTGGTGATAAAATCTATCACGCGATTTGCTTCTCTAGGTATGCTTTATTTTATGATTTAAATTGTGTTCTTGAGTTTGATTTTGCTAAATTAATTTTTAATATAATTTTAAATTTTCTAATATGTATATATAATAGATAAAATATCAATTTTAATTTTAAATTATAAAAATCTCAAAATTATTTTATTTTTCAATTTTGCATTAACTAGAGTTTAAAATATATATTTGGTTTTCCCCCCTAACTATATGAAAATTGTCAATCAAACACAGTGACACGTGCTATTTGATTAGAATATGAAATTTTTATAGAATTAAATTAAAATTAGAATTGAATTGGTAGAATGTATAAACATTGAGGAATAAATGTGTACTTATATTTATTTTTGTTAATTATCACATCAACACTTCTATTTAATGTTAACAAGTGACTTGATTGACCTCATTTAAATAAATAAGTGATCTGATTGAGAAAATAAAAAAATGATGGTCAAAATGAAAAAAAGATAATAATTAAGTGGTATAAGTATAATTTATCCTTAAATTAAATTATAAAATGGCAGTTGAAAAGGAGCCCAAATTAAGGTCAGGTACGGATCATTAATCAACGAAAAGAAATTCCCAAGGCCCAAACTTCAATAGCCGGCATTCATGGCTTCTGCAGGGTTTTAGATCCTGGGTTCTTTACCTTCTCTGTACTACGTTTTCCTTGAACCAGTATGAATTTAAAACCCAAATAACTTATGACTATTAGGTTCCACTAGTATTGTACGCCGACACTAGAAAGGAAAAAAGAAACGGGGTCGATGGAAGATGATTTTGGCGATTTGTATGCGGACGTTGTCGACGGATTGCACATTGAACCAGAACAGAATAGCCCTACCGATGGCTCCAAAAGCACCGAGGCTGATGAGAAGTTCATTGTGGATTCAGTTATGCAATATAGTGACAGCGAGGACGATTTGAACATTGTCTTGAACGATGATGAGTGCGAGAAGTTTCCGGTCACCGGCGCTAGGAGTCACAGTGGTGGCTTTGAAGAGAATGAAAATGGCGAGTTTGGGGTGGAGGGAACGACGTCGGATAAGATTTCAAGGCGGTTGAAAAGTGACGGGTCGGACCTGAATCCTAGTGGGAATGGTGTAGAAAGGGGGAGTGGGACTAAAATTGAGTTTCGTTCACACTTAAAGGTATTTTGGCATTATTTTTGTATGTTTTGTTTCGGTTTTATGTATATATTAGCATGAACCCATGAAATGACCTTAGTGGTTAAAGCTAATGGTATTCACCTTTTGATAAAAAAAAATAGTGTTATTCTCCTTAGAGGATGAGTTCAAGTAGTTGCGTCTGACGTGAGTAATGGAGTAATGTGAGGTGTGTTCGTTATCAATGAATAAAAAAGACTCTACATCACTCCGTACTATTAAAAAATGTGTATGCTAGCATTATTTTAGCTTTATTTAATGTAAACCACAGTCGTTTATAATCTTTGAGTTTATTGTATCAAAGCAGGTAAATATTTTTTCATGATTTGTGTTGATTCATTCATTTTGTAGTATGCGAGACTTCATGGATCATCTTTTGCAAGTAATATAAGGGTTAATGGACTTACTGGTATGTCCTCATTCTCTTCTATGTCAAGAAGTGGTGATAGGGAAGATGATGTTTATGACCAAAAGATGGTCGCTTCCATGAAACCATTGCCACATCAATTTGGATATGGTTTTTCCCTTCCATGGTATAGGTCAGTGGATGCCTTCTTATCTCTGAATACATTTCAACCTTAATCTGCTAGAAGTTTCTTTCATGTATTATGTATTGAAAAATGCCATTTTTTTTTAAAAGTAACAAAGTCTCCATAGATTTATTTCATTACATTGAAAGTAGAGATTGAAACCCTAACTTAAGGGGAAGAAAATAGTTTGTGTTCCACCATCACTCATACCAAGCCAGTAACAATTTCTTAATAACATCACTATGAATACGATCTCCCATCCAAAAACGCATAATATATATGTATGTTTGTATCAAACATGCATAAATACACATTTTGCCACTCAAAAGCACCACCAACAATCCCAACCCCAATCCAAATGTCCAACGACTGTATGAACAACATACATTAGACACCACTCGACGACACCTCTGAAGTTCATCTTCAAAATAACTGGTTGTGCAGACATCACATACTTAGTCTCAACTTCTGGTTGCCGACTTTTAACAGCGATATAGGCAGAGAGGCAGAGGGCATTGGATGGTTAATAGGATAGTATACCAAAGTTTTTTTTTATCCTACCAACGCAAGATATAGCCCCAAAACTGATAGATGATCACTTTAATACGATTTATCTCCATCCCAAGTAACCATTTAAGGCATTTACTCCTTACAAGTTTTGCATCAAAGATATGGTTTCCTTTATCTTCCTTGAAAAATGCCAAATTTTCGTACTGTCTAAAGCTGCGTAATGAAAATTAATGCCATCCTGAGCTTTTTGGGTATTATTCTTTTAGGACAATATTGGATGTAAATATTGATGCATTTGAGGAGAAACCTTGGAGGCATCCTTGCGCAGATATAATAGATTTCTTCAATTTTGGATTCAATGAGGATAGCTGGAAAGAATACTGTACCTCCCTGGTAAGTCAATTATTATTGCTCTAATTGCCTTACCATATTTCAGCTTGTAGCATAACTGATTTCTTCTGTTATTAGAATATGGTTGTTGTTTAGCTGTATGATTTTTCTTAATAGCACCTGCTTACAGAAACCTTTTATTGAGTTATTTAACAGGAGAAATTTCAGCAACAGTCGTCAAAGCAGGCTATGATTCCTTCTCATTATTCTTCAAAATTTGACCAGGTTTGTTATTTTAATCTTCATTGTAGACTTTTTTGTTTTCAGGAATGAATTGTAAAAGCTATCTCTATTATCTGAGATTTCCAACATTTTTTTTGTATGGCAATAGGCTTATGAAGGTGAGGCTGGTCATGAGAGAGTAACTCGAGGAGCTATGACCGAGGATGTAGCCAAAATTGACTCGTCATTAAAATTTGCTGATAGAGGGGAGATGCTCTTGCAATTGGTATGCCTAAAGCTGCAGGATCTGATAAGATCTTTATATTATCTGTTTCATGGGTGGTGTTTCATTATTTAGTGGCTTATTATTTCAGCCAAAAGGGAGAGCAATTCAAGTTGAAGACAGCATCAACGAACGCCAACCATCCATGGAAATAAGACGTCTGCGTTTTCAAGATTCTGATGTTATTATACAGGTCTGCTATTATTACTCTAGTCTTTATATGAACAATTCTTACATATTGGAACCTCTTATCATTTTCAATTCCATGGGTTGGCTCCAGATACCTGTGCAGGATTCCACTGTGGATTCATCCAAATCTGCAAAGGAGGAACTAGGTCCTGCTAGCAAGTCTGATGTCTCAGAATCTGGGAAAATGGATCAGGTTGATAGAGACGCTTGCTTTTCTGTTAGTGCTAGCAGCGTTGAACTGAAAGGAGAGCATTATGCAAGGGTCATAAATGTGTCCACATCTTCTTTGGGGAGGTCTGAATCATTTTCTATTTTAAAATGTATTTTTCCTCTGTTGAGTTCTCTACATGCTTGATTTGTCCTGCATATCCCTTGTTGAAGCTTCTATTGTCCTAGTTTCAAGTGTTAAAGGGATCTCCGGCCCTATAAAAAAAACAGGGATTCCATACAAAAAGATACTATTACTTGTTTGACACTTGCGGACAAGGTTTAATGTTGGCATATTTAGTATATTTACAGGTGGCATTTTAAACTTCATCTGCATGTATCAGCTTCTGATGAATAGGCTGCATATTAGTTCCAGTTTTTTAGTGATTATTTACAGACTAAATTTATTGTTTTAATCTGATTAGGTCGTTGTCAGCATCTAATCGAACTTCACTTGAGCCTGGTGGTCACAGAAAGGAAAATGTCTCTGATATGAATGAAAAATGTCATTCAAATATGGAAGTTTGCATTTTAGGAGGAACTGCTGAAGCAATTGAAAGAAAAAATAAGGGAAATGAAGTGGCCTTCAGAAATACCCACCGACCAGATACCTACATTACTGAAACCAAACTATCACATGACAATCGAAGTCATTTTAGCCCCACATTTTCCTTTTCTGAAAATAATTCTGAAGAAAGAACCGAAGATAGTGTTCACACTGCTTATGTGGAAACCCAAAGTCCATCAAGAAGAAAATCAATAGGTTCCGGAACTGGATTACAGAAGTCAGTTGATCATAAGGGCACCAGAAGTGGTAGCCACAAAATAAAATCAGATGATGGAGAAGATTTTTCAGTACGTAAAATTCCCTTGAGAGACAAGCAAAAGAATGGGAGTTGGAGACACCGGCATCATGTGAAAGAGAGGATCTTGGTCGAAGGTGATGATGAGTATGACACATATCGATCATCAGATGGAGAGGGTGTTTGGAAAAGATGTCGAAGACATGGAAATCCCATTGAGGAAAAATGGAAGCATCACCATGGTAGGCCTAACGGTATTATCAACCAGAAGATATACCCTAAAAACTGTTATGAAGCTTCTCATTCATCAAATGCAAGGGAACTCTGTTATAAATACCAATCATCTGTTTACCATGGGAAGCGAAAAGAAAGATCGGAAGATCTTTTTTATCATGATAAAGAAAGTTCCTCGTACTACTGGGATAAAAAACTTTATGTTAACAGCAGTAAAAGATTCACTGACAGCCATCTTTCTGCATTTGATGGAAAAGCTTATTTTCGCTTTAGAAAGGAATCGGATCAGTTTGCTAGAAAAATCTGGAATGAGGAGTTTTATCATGAAAGAAAAGGTTACAAAGCTAAAGAAGATGATATGGATGGGTTTTTGTATCACGGACGAAGACGTCCTGGTCAGAAGAGTCTGGTTCCTCACACTTATGGAGAATCTGAGACTGAGAGTTTTGTTTCAAGGTATTCCTCTGCTTCTGCAGAAAGGAATATTCAATGGAAAAGGAGAAATAACAGACTGAAATTTAGAAAGAAAACTGATCACGGTGATTGCCCATTAGATTGTAAGCATGAAGATGAGTGGTTAAAACAAAAGTATGGTACATCTATTTCATTCACACATTCTGAAAGGGGTATGGTTGAACCATATGAGAGGCGCAGACCACCAATCAGGAGAGATGCACAAGTTTCTGGCAGAAAAGGTAGATATGTTGACGGTGCCTATTTCCATTTGGGTAGATCAGGGCCTACTGAAAGTGAAGATGAGTATCAGAGACACACGCATAGTAGATATCTGGCCTTGGAAACTGACAGAGAACTATCTGCACATAATAGGTGGTTTAATACTGTATCATCAAGAAATGAGGAATATCACTCCAATCTAATTGAAAGATGCCATAGACATCAGAGATTAGTATATCATGAGGAAGACCTAGATGGTTCTTGGTTCAGTTCCTATAATTATACCGATGACCATGATTTACAAAATGATAAACAAGTTCAATCACAGGGAGAAGGTCGTAGTAAGCAATCTAGAGTACTACACTGGAGAGAGGATAAATTACTTGTAAATGATAAATTGTTTAATCAAGGGGTGTCTTTTTCTTATGAAAAGTCTTCTAAGCATGATTTAATTCATGCTAGGCATGGATCACTTAGGGATGAGATGTTTCTTAATGATTCAATGTTGGAGCATCATGGATATGAAATGATAAGTGAAAGAAATCCTGCCACTTGTCTTAAAAGATCTTTTATTAGTTATAGAGGTGAGCATGAGCAGGAGTTCCCGAAGGACAGGGACCCAGCTGACTTGATTGTTGGGGAAGGAAAGGTAAAGTTGGGGAAACTAAGGTCAAAAAATCTTGTAACATTTGTACTTGTATATACGTGTGTTCTAATTGTGTTGGCCAAGTCTCTTTTTTTCATCTGCTCATCTTGCATCTTTTCTTTTGATCTTATCTATAATTCTCTTCCTTAAATTCCTTCAATTCTAGGTGAAATACAGGTTAATTTATTTTAGAATAAGTACCTTCTTCATTAGCTGATGATAGTGTTAGGCTTTTGCTTTCAAAATTAGTACATTTTAGCTTCTTTGGGCCAAGCTACAGATTTTTCTGGTCTCTGTCGGTTTAAGTTTTTATTCGTCAAAAATGATTTCTCATCGTTTGCAGAAAATTGACAGTTCTTAATTCTTTTTGTGTCACTGCATTACTTGCGTTCTTACATTCTTAGATTCATAGGTTAATCATGGTCGGTATCTGTTTCTTCCTAGATTTCGTTATTGAGCATGGTATATAATCATTTGTTTTGTCATTTCATCTGACCTTTTTAGCTTCCACTTCTCTAGATATACGTAAAATTATAAATTATAATCTGTAACATTTCCATATGATAATACCTTCTGCAGCCTTCTGTGAGACATTCAGATAGTAGAAGCAAAGTATGCAACGGAAGGCTAAAAAAAATGGGCTCGGAACATCCGAACAAGCAGAAATCTGTTATGGAATTTGATGACTCGTATGGAAGCAAAGAAGTTAATATGAACATCCCGAATACGGATGGCATAAGGAATAATGAGAAACAGTTTAGTAAGTTTTCAGTTGCAGAGTGCAACAAAGATTTGGATATTGAGGAGGGTCAGATTATAAATGAAGAGCAAATTTCAGAAGACACTGATCTGGAAAAGGAAAATGCTTCCGAGACAATGATGCAAAGTAACAAGATAACGGTGAAAACGTTGCTCGTTGATGATGCTTCTGAGAAGAATGGAGCTGTGGTTGAATGTGAAAACAGACGGATACTGGAGACACTGGCAAAGATGGAGAAAAGAAGGGAACGGTTTAAGGATCCGATCACCGTAAAACGTGAACCGAACAAGACTTCTGCTCCCCAAGTTGACCAGACTGATGAAACAAAGAGACGGAGGCCTGCTCGAAGGAGGCAGTGGGGGGTAAGTTAGCGTTTAGTTTACTTCATACAATCTTACTGGAAATGGTAGTCACCTGGTTTTCTTGGAGATCTGGATGGATTGCAATCAGGATGATTAATTACCACTCTTAATCTGCATGCATATTTCAGAACAAGCAAGATTTTCGTTCTCCTTTTTGAGGGGCAAGTAATGTCAATGGTATATTCCTCTAAAGTTCACAATGATCATGTTTGTTCCATATACTACAACATTGCAAAAAAGAAGTTGGGGTAAATTTTGAAGTTTTGTGGTGGTTACAATTCTTTGTCTAGCCAACAGTATACGATTCTTTATGGTCACGATGATAGCATTTCTGCTTTAAGATCTAAGCTGATTCATTGCAAACAATGTTGAGGAGTTATTGTTTTCATCAAGCTTTGGTTAATGAATTCTAAAAGCTTTGGTTAATCATGGTTTATAAGTTAGCTTTGATTATTTCTTTTTCATATATTGGGATGCTTAGCCACATCTGCAATACCTTTATTATAGGCAAAATTTAATTGCCGTTAGGAAAATTATTTTTTATATACGGTCATTGCTATGGTACTTTAAGACGTAAAGATCACCGGACTTATCTCAAGATGCATGCCTGCCTGCAAGCTACCAACGCTGCAAGTTCAAACAGTGTCTGTCAAAAGACGCCGTGTAATCTAGGCGTCTTATAGAAGCCGTCAAGTAATCCAGGTGTCTTCCATGATGTATTGTAGCAATAACCCTAGATGAGAAAATAGTTTTTTCAGTTCCATACATGCAACTACAATATGTAAGAAAATTTGCCCTTTATCATATATTCCATTATGAAATTTTAATCTTTTTTTTTTACTGGATATAGCCTTCTACTTGGTAATTATAAGCAGTTGCAGATGGCAATGTTATGTTGTGATATATGAATCTCTTCCGTGTTAGATGCCATCAAAGAACTAACGGAAGGCATGCATATATAAGAATCAACTAAACGAATTCCAACGTAAAATTAGATCAAATTATGGGACTTTTTCTATTCATGGAAAAGCATATTCAACTGGTTGGATTGGGCCCTAAACGAGTTGAGCTCGAGTATTGTTGAGCTCGACTCGACTCGACTCGAAAACTATAAATGAAGCTCGACTCGGTTCGAAAACTTGCGAGTCTAAAATTTTGAAGCTCGATTTGAACTCGAAACCATGATTTGAAGCTTAAAAAGGCTCGGAAAAAAATATAAACTTAGTTGAAGCTTAAACTTGAACTCAAACATAAACCTTAAGTATATGAAAATATTATATTGTATTTTAAAAAAAATCAACATATAAATGTTAATATTATCAATAATTTAATTTTTTGAAAATAAAATTTTAATATATAATTTTTTCGAGTTGCTCATGAGCTTTTCGAGTTGAGTATTAAGTAGCTCGTTTTGATTCGTTAAGAACTTAAGTCGAGTTCGTTCGACTCGAGTATTTATGGAGCTTTGACCGAATTGATCTCGAGTAGCTCACGATTTGTCTCATCTCATTTATGATCCTTGATTGTATATGTAAACCAAACTAGTTAGTCAAATGAGGGATTAAGTTTAGATTAAGTTAATAAACTGGTTGAACTGAGAATCAATTCAACCGTATAAGAAGATTTGATAATACAAGTGAATTTAAAAATTTGAGAATTAACTTTGAGAATTTAAAAATAAATTTTTTAACTTTTTATTTGTTTTGATCCTTTGTATTTTCATAAATCCATAATTTTTCTTGTTTTTGAATTATCAAAATATTTTTCTTCTTTTATAAAAATAATTAAATGATTTGGTTCAATGATTTAATCTTAAAATTAGGGATCCAATTGGTTTGACTTTTAATTTTATTTTCTAACTATGTTAATTCACTTAAATAGTAAAATCATTTATTTTATGTAAGTTTAATTTGGTAGGTAAGTTTTAAAAACACAGTAATATTGATTATTATTATTTATAATTAAATTTAAATAAAAACAATTTTATTGATAATGTAATTTTTTGTGGGAAGGAATTGATAATGTAATTTGATGTAGGGAGGATATGCATTTTCACCTATATTTCGCCCATTAAAAAATTAATATCCTTTTTTATTTTTCAGAATGACATCCTTTTCTAAAAGTGTTTACTTCTCGATTTTAATTGAATTAACGGATTAAACCAAAGTAATTTGATTAAAATGGTCAACCATCAAATTAGTTGGGTTAGGGAATAATTAATTTTTTTAATATTCAACTAATAGTAAATTCAGTTTAAAATCGGTTAATTAACTGAACTAACCATAAATATTATACATATATATATATATATATATATATATATATATATATAAAGCTCAACCCCGTTAAGAATTAAGATCCAATTAATTTTTAACCACACTAGACTCGAGACCTAATTAAATTTTAACCCAAATAAAAATATAATTCTATTAAATTCAAATTAATCTCAGTAAAAAGAATTATATAAAAAAATCTGATTAATATATCCAACAGGGAAAAAATGAGGAGAAATTGGGATATATCCAACAGGAAGAAAGTGATTATTCATGTGAAAACAAACCTATTGATACTCCAACAGAAATATTATCAATACCTTCTTTAAAGTATAGAATGACAATACTAGCATTTAAGGACACGTAAATCGTATAAGGGAAAATTTCAGGCCCTTGTAATCATATTTTTCACTCCTAAAACGACACAACATCTAATAAAATCATCCCTTTTCTTAAAGCTCTCTCTTTCTCCATACCTTCCAATCCTCTTACTTTTCAAGGAATCAAAACTCTACAATTTTTCTCTGAACTTTTTCTTATTATCATGGTAAACATACATGATTAGTCCATAATTTAAAGAACCTTGATGATGATTTGGTATAAAGATATGTGATTTTGATGTAAGAGGAATGCCCAACCGACCATTGCATTGATTCCTTGAGTTTTTATCATACAAACAAGGTGTTCATTAATGTCATTCTCAAATCTTTTCTATTAATTTGTGCTTTTTTTCGCTAGCAAATTATTTCTGACCATGTGTTGCCCATATTTTACTGGAACGTGCTCCTACTTAGTTTCTAAGCCTACCAGTCACATCTATTATTACATGGAATGAGCCGATATATAATATTTTTAGTTGTAACCGAAAATTCTAAGACGGTCGTAAGATTTTATGTTGGAATTTTTAAAATTCCAAATGGACGAACTTGAACTTACAAAATTCTAGGGAGCGAAAACAAATTTTCAATAGAATATAAAATATATGATAATTCTAAATTTTCAGGGGGCGACTGCCTCCATCCTCCCCTTCGATTCATCCCTACATGTTGGGGACATGATATATATAGGTTAAGATCCACTTACACTGTAGAACTCTCTTAGTTTTATACCTTTGTAAGATCATTGGATTGAGAGAAATCAAAGACTGAGATTAACTCATTATTTTTTCAGTGAATATCTTTTCATTTTCAACCGCTAATCTTAATATTTAGTTTCTCTCATATAATGATGCTAAAAAAAAAGTGGAAAATTAATATATATGGGTCAAACAGTAGTTAAAACTAAATAAACAGACAAAAGAAAAACTATTGAGAAATTGTCCTTTGAACCATTCGATTACATAATTACCTGTTTCATAAAGTACATGTCAGCTATTCTTCCGGTTATGGTTCCTAGTCCTGTGGTGGAGTAATTTATTTATATGTTTAAAAATCTAAACTAATTCCAAATGATCACGTGTCAAGTACAAGAGTATCAAATGAGAACGATGAAACTATTGTTTATTATTTTCTCTAATTAAATTAAACTAATTAAAAAATGAAATTCTTTAAGAATTATGTTATTTTTTATAAATTTAAATTAATCAAATAATAAATAACAAATAATATTTTAAAGATTCATCTTATCTCTAATTAATTTTTTCGACAATATCTCTAATAAAATAACAAGTTCAATGATACAATTAAGAAGTTCAACAAATGACAATGAAAATTTAGAGAAATATGAGCAGAAACCCTTAAAATGTCACAAAATTCGGTAATAGTCTGTACATATATGTGTGTGTGTGGCTAGGGTTACCAACACCCAGATTGTTCGATTTTTCCCCACACAAACAAAGTAATTTGCTGCATGAGGTTTCATTAAAGCATACAAATGAGAAGCAAATTTCAAGATTAAAGTGATATAAAAAGTATAATATATAATAAGGTTTTAAGTTTTCTTTCTGTTGAACAAATTCCCATAATTAAGTAGCAGTTTATAAGTTGTTTATTTCGGTGATAAAGCATGCCGTATTTCCAATTAGGTTCAACCTTCGAAATATTATTATCATAAAACTTTTTTTATTAGTTTCGAGCGATTACAAGATAGTATTTATTCGAAAGACTCTTAACTATCGATGATCAGTGGCGGATTTAGAATATTTGTTAGAATATGCATAAATTTTTTCGTATGTGACATACACAAATAAAATTTCATGATGTATATTGTCAATAAAATAAACAACCAACATAAATAAACTGATTTTAAGGTGAACACTTTCGCACCCGGAAAAAGATATGCATTCACCAACGTTAAAAATTGATGTTCAAATACTCATGTAAATATCATGTTTTAACCTAATACTTCTAGAGACAACTATTTCTTAACTTTAAAATCGATTGTTTCACGCTATCATTATAAAACATAAAACGAAAGGAAATATACCGGAAAATAACGATTTATAATTGATTGAAGAAGCCTAAAAGTCTCTAGGATCGACAACCACATTTCCCATCATCCCAAGCTCGTGGTCTTCATCATTGATGGAGCCGTTCGCCTTCTTAAAGTACCAAAGATCATCGATCCTTGACTTGGATGATGATGCATGGCTGACATGTTCCATAAGCGGATCCGACACTCCTAACTCAGTAATTATCATCTTGCAATTCTGGATATCTTTACCCAATCTCAGTGCGAAACTCCATGCAGATTCCATGAGCTCTCCAAGCCTCTCTCCTTCTCCATGGATCCCATAAAGAAACAAGAAACCCAATGGTCTCTCAAGTGAGTAGTCACACATTGGAATCTTCAAACAAGGGAACATCTTCTCCCTCGCATGGTTCACAATTTCATGAAGAAGCTTGAAACAAGGATAATGGGGTTTCTTTATATTAGCTTCACAAGAGTTCCATATGCTAAACACGGCCCAAGAAGGAGGGATTGTGCTGATAATATCACCATCTTTTTCTTTACTGTGTAGACCAATCCATTCGTCTTGTTTGAAATAAGAAACCCATGTGCCAAGGCTAAGCTTTTCCTTGAGAATTGCATCAATGTCTGTAGGATACAAGTCTTTGCCTTTGAGCTTGTTGTCATACAAAGTGATTGCCTGGCTTATATTCAGCTTTTCCACTTTGATATCTTGAGACGGATCATCCTCCATTGAAAAACTTATCGGCTGAACAAGTATGAGCAGTGAGCTTAAGTTTCTGTATTCGCATTTGGCAGTGAAGAGATTCCTAGAGGCCACATTGTTCTTCTCTGTTGCTAGGAAAGTGTAGTGAGCTCCATTGTTTATCAACCATTCTTCCATTGCTCTCACAAGTTTCAAGCCGATCCCCAATCGCCTACAATATTTGTTACTTATTAGATGCCAAAATAGCTAAATATACTTCAAACAACTTCTGTATTTCATGTGAATATCTTTTCAAATGCACCCAAAAGGAAATTAAAAGAAGAAGAAAAAAGGACCTTTTCATGCATTGAGCAGAAGATTATCTAGGGTTTAAAAGATGATCAAGGGTTTTGTTGCCCTAGAAATGTGATTGAAAAGCAATAACAGTGACTGTACATTGGAATTTTACGGGAAAAGACTGGGAGAGAATATTTAGATATATATACCGATGTGTTGGAGATACTCGAAGGCCTAGAATGCAACCCAACTTCAAATCTTTGTTTCCAAATTTAGTACCGACATGCTTGATGCAACCCCTGATAAATCCGACAAGCTCCCCATTCTCTCGCAACTCAGCTACCTGTAGGGCATTTTCTGGCACATCAGTCTCTCATGCATGCCGATTTTCCTATTTCATCAGTTATATTATCTACATCAAAACAATGATCTCATCTCATGGGCAAGGATTTAGGGAGAACCATATTGAAAAATCAGTAGAAACAATGCTTTATTTCAGGAGAGATGAATATATAGGTTTTGAAAGTTGACAATGAATGTACAGGAAAGGAGTAAATGAATCACACTCACCAGCATGAGATGAAGTGGAAAGAACCTAATCCTAAACAAAGGGTCACCCATCATGTTGGTGAAAATGGAGGTCCCCTTAGTATTAGATCCAATCTCACACTTCTTCTCAATCTTCCCCACCACTTCAATGTCTTTGCCATAATCGAATTCCCTAATAAGAACCCTATCTCTTGCACTTTCAACCATTGATGGGAAATAATGATTTTTTTTAAATCAAAGACTGTACCTTTCTTCAAAGTCACCTCGCTTTCAGTGTTATATACATACAGTGCATAACTGTTTTAGCTTTTAAAACCCTAACATTTGGTCCTTGGAGTTGTATGAGTTTTCCGGTCAAGTTGTATGAAAAGTTGATGCACCTGTTTAGGATATAATATTTTATAAGGTAAAGTACACAAATGGTCTTCAACTATAACGCGCTGCTTAGTTGAGTTCTCCGATTATTAAAAGTTATAAAATAGTATTCCGACTATTAAAAATATAAAATGATCATCTAACTATTCATATGTTCCAAACTCGTTATTTTCTGTTAAAAAAGTTATGGTAATCTGAGTTGGACTTTAACCTAACAAGTACCGACTGGATATGATAAAATTTAATCCCCAAATCTCAAACGATTATCATATCTTAATCATTATGTTAATGTCTAGGTTAGTCTGGCATCATTTTTTTAATAAAAAATGATGAATTTTGATCATATGAATAGTCGGATAATCACTTTGTAACTTTTGATAGTCGAAAGACTCACTGAAATAACACTCTATAGTCGGAATCATTTGTGTACTTTATCCTATTTTATAATTTACCGATGAATTTGAAAGGAAAACGAAAACGAAAACGAAAAGGCAGACAGTGGCAGATTGGTTTTCGTATTTAGCAAGGACAATAAGTGGTAAAACGATCTACATGGCCTGCACCACAAAAATGAAACAATAGTGTCACAATGTGATTCCCTGAATCTTTGTACTCGTTCACATGTTTTTGTACATATGTTTCCCCAACCAATTTATACTGTTCTAAAGGACAGCTCAGCGCTCAATCAAAAGCACTTCTTCTTTTTCCGTGTCCGGCCAAGACTGAATTGAAAACAAGCCTAAAATATATCTTCTCAATCAACGTCGGCCTCGTCAAGGATTAATATTAACATCATAAAAATATAAACAAGTCGGACCTCGGTGAACTTCAATTACTAATTGATCAATTAAACATGGAGAAAATTGGAAGTCCAGTAATAAAATTGATATAAAAAAAAGTAAGATTTATCATGCCAAATCATAAAAAATAACGAGATAACATATCATTACATCATCTATCAAGAGACAGTTATAGCATATCAAGACACAACAAGCATAACATTGTGTGACACTACAATTGTAACACACCAACCCGTATCCAACCCGGACACAAATCTGAGGTGTCACATTAACTTTTCAAATTTTTGACTCTTGAAAAGTGGTTGAAAATTTAATATTTTATTTATATTAAAGTGGTGAAACCCTTAAATCAAAGTTAATGTTTAACATTCAAACTCACATTGAAAATAAATACTTAATAATTTACATAAATACTAAATAGCATGATTACAAAACTGATCAGAGCATTACAATTTTAAAATTGTATGATACATGCCAACAAAATTACAAGATAATAGAAAACCTACGGTTCAAATTGTTCTGAAATTCTTCAGGTGTATGTTGTCATTTCCTACCTTTAATATCCTGATCTCTTCGAACCTACATGTGGAACAATCACACGCTAAGTCGTCGACTTCGTGAGGCAATAACGAGTAGAAATAAACATTGAAAAACATTTGCTTATTAATCGCATAGAATACATTTCATACAAAACTCAATTTACATTTCATGAAAAGAAATTATACTTTTACACATTGTTCAATTCATATCACCTTGTTTTAATATCCCAATGCATATTACTGAAAACTCTAGATATTTGAGTACATTGAGATTGTGCACTAATGCAATCACCGTTGCTCATATAAATTGCACCGAAATGCCACATAGAATTTATCCCAAAGGACCGCGTAGAATTTGTCTCGAAAGACCACGTAGAACCCTCGACTCTTGGCATGACAACTATACCTCTAATTCTCATACATATACCTTGGGCTTTAACCATACAATTATTTCTTATTTCATTATTCAAAGTGTGTCTTATTCACATAGAGTACATTCACATAGGGCACTTTCACGTAGAACATTTTCGCTTAGCACATTTTAACATATAACGTTTTCATATAAAACAATACTTTGAAAATACACTTTATATAAAACAAAATAAAATATGACATAACATAAATAAATAGTTTTCGATCAAAAACCTCGAGGTTAGCTTATCGTAAGCCGTCCTCCAATCTAATATAAAACAATGAGTTGCACTCACTTTTGCCTCACGTAAGTTCTAAATCGAATCTCTTTCATTTCGATCAATCTTGTACTATACCAATTCTTTCGATACCCTTTCGATCCAAATCTACATATCAAAATGACCAAGATCAATACCGACTTTCTAGTAACAATTAACCACTTAGCACTTACAATAATGGAATAAAAAATCCTAATTTAAAATTCAGACTGAATAGTATCGATAGCCCTCCTACAGTATCGATACTTCTCTTTTATGTTACCGATACACACTTCACTACCATACCCACTTCAGTACCGATACCATTTTGGCATTCTGAAATTCCATTTTTCATTACAATATCGATACCTTACACATGGTATCGATACCTCCACATCAATATCGATACTTCTTAAATCAATATCGATATTGTTCATTGAATTTGTATTATTCCTTTCAATTTTAACCTTATAGTATCAATATTGTTCTTCTAGTACCGATACCCTTACCTAGATTTCATTTATTTCACTTTGAATTTTACCCACACTTCACTTAAATCTCATTCATTTAGCTCTATTCATACTCTCAAACTCATTATCACTTATCCTAGCTAATTTATCTTCATTAATCCCTTTATAACATCCAATTTCTCCATAGAACGCATAAAACTAAAAATCATACATATTCTTTAAACATGTTCTTAATCATTTCTAATATTTCAAACACCTTAATTTGACCTTTGACAAGTCAAATATGTATTTAGAATCCAATTACTAACAATATTTCATAAATTCACTTAAAAACCCATTTTACTATTTCACCATTAATTCCTTAATCACTTAGTTTATCTTCAACTTTTAGCTTCCTTAATCTTATATACCACTCAAAGCTTCACAACCAACCCACAAAATAAAGAAACAACCAACTAGAAACATATCTCACCTTAGCAATAGAGGTTACGGTGGAAGAGAAGAAGAAGAGAGAAGATAACCCAAGATTCTAGATTTTTCATTTCCTTCTTTCTTTCCCACATGTTAAATATCCTATCAAATGAATTTTAAATTCATTTAATACTAAAATACCTCTTTGCCCTTTCATTTTTCCATATTTGCTAATAAGACATATACACAAAGTTCCAAAATCAATCTTGAACTATTTAAGTAATTCAACTTAAAGCACCAAATTTTAAATTTTTATCATATAGTCACTGACCTGATGTTTTGGGGTATTACAATTATCCCCCTAAGAAAATTCGTCCTCGAATTTTCACTATACAAAGAGATGAGGAAATTGTATTCTCATGTCCTATTCACGTTCTCATGTCACCTCTTCTATTTTGTGATTTCTCCATAGAACTTTAACTAATGGAATCATCTTGTTCCTTAGTTGCTTGACTTCATGTGCTAAAATTTGCATTGATTCTTCCTCATAGGTCAAATCAGATTAGACTTCTATATCTTCTGGTGCTATGATGTGCGAATGATCTGATCAATATCTTATGAGCATTGAAACATGAAAGACATTGTGGATCTTTTCCATTTCTGATGGCAATGTTAACTGATATGTCACTAGTCCAACTCTTTTTAAGATCTCATATGGTCCAATGAATCTAGGATTGAGTTTCCCTTTGCGTCCAAAACGGAGAATCTTCTTCCAAGGCGATACTTTAAGAAATACTTTGTCGTATTCTTGGAATTCAATTTCTTTTCTCTTCAAATTCGCGTAGGACTTCTTTCGATTAGCATCTATCTTAAAATTATCTTGAATAATCTTCACTTTGTCTTCGACTTCTTTGATCAGATCTGGTCCTACTAAGTCTCGATCTTTCAATTCAAACTAATTTAATGATGTTCAACATTTTCTTCCATACAAAGCTTCATAGAGCGCCATCTTGATACTCGATTAATAACTATTATTATAAGCAAACTCTGCTAGCGGTAGATATTTCTCCCACGATCCATGAAATTCAATCACACACGCCCTTAACATGCATTCCAGAACCTGAATTGTCCGCTCTGATTGACAATCGGTCTGAGGGTGAAAAGTTGTGCTAAAGTTGAATTGGGTACCCAATACTCATGTAATGATTTTTAAAATCTCGAAGTGAATCTTGGATCTCTGTCAGAAATTATTGAAACTGGTACTCCATGTAGTCGAACTATCTCCTTGAGGTATAATTCAACATACTTATCCATTGAATAATTCATTCGAACATGAATGAAATATGTGATCTTTGTTAATCGGCCCACAATAACCTAAACTGAATCTTTTTTGTTTGGTGAAAATGATAATCCTATTACGAAATCCATCGTAAGTATTTCCCACTTCCATTGAGGAATAAAGATCGAATGCAATAGTCCTGAAGGTACTTGATGTTCAGCTTTCACTTGTTGGTAGGTTAGACACTTTGCAACAAACTCTATAATAGCCTTTTTCATGTCATGCCACCAATATCTTCCTTTCAAGTCTTGGTACATCTTGTTCCCTTCCCTCTTATATTGCATCGTAGTCTTTAAGTAGCTCGATCAATCTCATTTGTCTTAGGTTTAGCTCCTTTTGAGTTAGCAAATACTTCACACTTTTGTGATTCGTATAAATGTAACAACGCTCACCATATAAATAGTGGCGCCATATATTTAGTGCAAATACCACCGCTGCTAACTCAAGATCGTGTGTCAGATAATTCTTCTCATGTGACTTAAGTTGTCTTGAAGCATAAACTATTACTTTTCCATCTTGCATCAGGACACATTCCAGACCATTATGGGAAGCGTTATTATAAATTGTATAATCTTTTTCTAATTCTGATTGCACTAGTATTGGAG